CATGGCATGTGAGTTTGTCTCCCTTTTCCCAGCTTGCTTTCCTTTATGGAGGACTGTGGCAGAGCTTAGAATCAGAATTGGCTTACCCTGAGTACCATTAGTCGTGACCAGCCCAGCATGACCCTGAGAAAGTATCATCCCATCCTGCCATATTTTAAATGGGAGAGGTCCTGACCCCCTTTCCAGGATGGCAGAGAGGATTAACACATTAGTGACAGTATTGCGTTTTTCGAGAAGCTGGTTCATAATGCTCTTAGGTTTGACAGCTGAGACAAATGTGATGATTAAAGATCAGTGGCCTCAGTGGGGTAAGGTAAAATCCAGCAAAGTGCATTAACAAAACCATAAAGCTCCCTGGTAGCACCACACTGCACAGGCTGTTCCAATGGGCCTCATATGCCCAGACAGGGCTGGCTCAAGGCTTTATTTGGGATTGTATCACTAGCAGAGATGAACCTAAAAGGTTTCATTCTCAGCAGTTGAAATGATGCTGCTGCTTGGTTTTTATTTAATTTCTATCTTATTTTTGTTTACATATGTGTATGTGTTTGTACACACACATGCTACAGTGTACCTGTGAAGACTAGAAAACAATTTACAGGACTTGGTTGTCTGCTCCCAGCGTGTGGCTCCCAGACATGGAACTCAGATCCTCTGGCTTAGCCACAAGCACCATCACCTTTTGTGCCTTCTCACTGGGCCCACTGTATGTTTTTATTAAACATTATTGTACATAGTCAGCCCCAGCAATTTAGATGGCTAGATGCTGGTACTTATATGGATTTTTATTCCTCCCTCAACATGACAGGGTTAAAGTCTTGAAATGGAGCTCAGGATATATATCACATAGCAGATAAAAATCCAGGAAAAACAAAGCACTCTGATATTTAATTACCAGCTGAAAGGCTGTAGCTATGGGGAAAATCTAGATTCCCAGTGACATTGACCTCTAGAAACATTGAGGCAAGCCACTGCAGCCACAGGGTCTCTGGCTTTGGTTTTCTGGTAGTATCAGTCAGAAATTGAATTTAGGATGGGTGGAGAGAGAGCCCAGAATGCAATTACTGCAATAATGCATGGAAAAGCAGAGGCACGCTGTTTGAAGCTACTTCTTGCCTTTAACATTGGAAATGTAGTGGGCATTTGTGTATGGTAGAGCAAATAAAATAATAATAACCGGCTGGTAAGGGTCCCATGAGGAACTCTTGTTATTTCCTCCTGGCACCTGAGAAGTCATCACTGAATGATTGACAGATAGCTGGGGTGCTAACAGAAGCCAGAATTGCCCAGTTTCACACTGTGTGAACTTGGGTGCTTCTATCCTCTTTAGGGATGAAGGTGGAGATGTCTACATCTTCTAGCTCCCGCCTGGTACTATTCGATATAACATTTCCTGGTGTTTATTGGGGCCCAGAAGAAGCAGGGAGAGGATGCAGGAGGGAGGTTATGGATTCAGTTCCCAGGTGACTCAAACAGAATTAGAATTTTTTTTTTGTTGGTTTATTGGTTTGTTCTTGTTGTCTTTTTGTTATCTGTTTGTTTGTTTGCTTATTTTAGCAGTGTCTGACCATTACCAGAGTTACAATAAATAAAACGGTCACTTCATGTTGAGTCTGTTTTCCCATGTACAAACAGATTTGATCAGTCAGGGTATGTTATGCAGTAATAGTTAACAATTCTAGATATCAAATATCTTACTCGGAACTCATGGATGAGTGTAGGGTTTTGGCTGTGTGTATGTGTGTATGTGGGGGGGGGGGATGGGGAGTGGGATGGATTTTAGCTGTGTGTGTGGAGTGGAGGTTGGGGTGGGTCCATGCACACACATCCTTGCTGCACCTCACCTAGGCACCTAAGTTCATTGAACCTCTATCATCTGGAAGGTCACTCACTACTCACCATGACCAGGAGAAGGACATGCGGTAAATCCTATAAGAGTTCTCAATACAAAGTACATGTATTTTGCTCATCTCATTGGTCAGAAGCCTATACTAGCTTCGAGTGGGAAGAAAAGTACAGGTCCACTCCTGCAAAGGAGACAGCAATACCAAGTGCAGTGAAGGCCCTGCTGGCTGCCTCAGCAGGGCTGCTCATGTTCATCTTCCAGACGGAGCATCACTGACTGTGGGAGAGACAGGGACACCGTTGGAAAAGGATTGTGTGGATGGATTTATAAAAACCTGGCAGATCTTTTAGCTCTCTCATCATCATAAACATTGTAAATGAGTAACCTGGAACTTAGAAAGTCCATTTGAAATGTTTCCAAAGAAATGAAAATAATCATACAATATACCAAAGCTTGTAGGACATAGCAGGACAAATATTAAGCAGGATGCTTATGACAGTTTATGCCTATATTTTTAAAAAGAGAAATTGCAAAAAAGGACAAAAAAAATCTAAACCATCACTGTATATCAAGATGTTCAAAAAACACAGAACAAACTGAACCAAATTAGTAGAAAGAAAGAAGTCAAGGTAAAGCAGAAATAAATGAAACAGAACCTAAGAATACACAAAGGACCCTCAAAACTAAGAGCTGGTTCTTGGTGGCTAAAATAGTCCCTTGAGTAGACTAAAATAAAAAAAAATAAACAAAATCAGAGGTAAACAAACTGAGACTGCATTTCTGAATTATCACTTGTGATTATTCACTACAAATTATCACAAACAAGGAAGTGTTTTAACAGCGTATGAGATGCTGCCAATTCCTGGTCGTAAGCACTGCCCAGAGACAGAACTGACGTCGCCCACATATTCTCCCCACGAACTTAAGTCCAAGTTTCTTATTCTCCAAAAACCCAGGATTCTGTTAGTCCATTTGATGATAGTAACCACAGTTCCCTTGAAAGTGCTTGTCACAGTTCCTCCCGAGCCCCCACCCCATGGCACTAGGTAGTCTCTTCGACGTTTGGGGCAATCCAGAGATGTTTGATATTTGTTAAAGGAAACACTAAATCAGAGAGGCTTCCTAGTGCTTTCAAAAAAGCATACTTGTGGGAAAATGTAGGGATGTGAGCCAAACATCTTTGCCCTCTGCTAAGAGAGTTGTTTCCCCCTGACTTCCCTCCTGTTAGCTGCAAATGCTGTGCCTGACGGAGCTCGGGCTTCCTGTAGTCTCTTGTTCCTGCACATCCCTCCAGGCAGACATTTCAGCTGGAAGCCAGGGCAAAGGTGGTTCAATACCACATGTCTCCCTCCCCCTCTCCATCTGGTATCTCCGAAACCCAGCATGTCACACAGGAGCTTCATTTTAGTGTAGGCCAGAGCAGTCCACAAGGATGCCTGTGTTGTCTCACCCTGCCTTTCAAGTCTAAGCACTGAACCTCTTCCTTCATGGTGGGCTTCTGCAGTTTCTTAACAGGCTAGCTGGTGGCAGTGGCCTGTTGTCCATAGAGACTGAAGCCAGGGAAGAATGGGAGAGGGATGATGGATGCTCATGAAGCTTGTGTGGGAAGCTTCCCACAGAAAATGGTCTAGAGAACTGGGTGTTGAAAGCCAGCATGGCCATGGAAGAGTCTTAAAGCAGAGACCGGCATTGCCCTGCCAGCCTTTCCAATTTGATCTCACAAGAGTGTGCACTCTGTAGGTGTATGAATAGAACACACACTATTTGGGAGTGAGAATAAAGACCAGCAGCGAGAGCTCATAGAGCCCCCTCTGGGTAACAAAAGGGAACAGTATGCTACCCTTAGATGTTTCAGAGAAAGACAGGGTCTGTTTATTTAGTAACCAAAGTGAGTTTTGACATACTGACATTTTGTGCACTTGTCTTCTTTTAAAGATTAGCAGATTGTGGGTGGGATAGCCCAGAAATGCATGAAGCAGGATTCCTCTTTTAGGATAGCTTCCATGTAGGCATGGCTTTCTTTGGTGCTTGGGATTAAACCTAGGGTCTTGCATTTACTAAGCTGCACTACTGAGCAATGTCCCCAGCCCATTTTGTTCCAGGTTCATCCTTACCTCTCTGAACCCACTGACTCTCGGCTTGACTCTGAGTGGGAGTTCTTTGATGTTCAGGCTATCATTGAACACAGTAGTTCTCATCAGTGTCCTTCAGAAAGCAGCTATCCTATGAAGCTTTATGACAGAGCAGTAAAAACCTTGCTTGCCTTAATCTTGTTTCAAGAGTTTGGAGGGTCCCCAGGTCCTTGCCCTTGGGTGATACCATTGGAAACATCATAGAAGGTAGAGGGAAGGGGAGGGCCTACGAAGGAGTAGGTAAGAAGCTTTACCCTTTTCCTGCCACTAGGTTTGAAAATGCACACCTGCAGAGCTGGCTGGAGATCACATATGGCTCCTGGCATTCGGAAAACCTTGTTGAAAGTGAAATTAAAATTTCCCTGCTGGACAGGAAATTAATAACCGCTGAGTGTAGCAGACAAGGCCAGACCTCGGCCACTTGTTCCATCACCTAGGATGTTTTATTGTTATGCAAATGAGATCAGCTGCTACTGCCTAAGGGGAATTGAGGAGGGTAGAAAGAAATAATGGTGGATAGATTCCTTATGGTTTAATGTTTTCATAGCATGCAGTGATTCTTGCCTCCTCAAAGCATAGGCACGGGGAAGCTTCGGGACCCTTTTTGTCATTATTTCTATAAAGCAGCCCTCACGGCTCTGATATGTTGCTATTTTCTCATCTCATAACACTTCTACATCACCCACAGTGAGCGGGGCCATATGCCACTGGGGCGGGGGAGATGGCTAGGGCTCAATAATGGAATATCTAGTGTCTGCCTTCTGGGACTTTACAGTATGGCAGAAGAGGATATTGGATAGCATAGACTAGTCCCCCTCCCCCACCAGAACACCCATTATGCCACTTAGCATTTTTGCTTGAAAAATAACTGAGACATACTGTGAAAAATGAAGCAAATTGGTAGAAAGTAAGGGACAACCCTTCGAGGCTGTGGATAAATCAGCTCTGTGCAAACTGATGTGCATTACTTGGGGACACATCCACATGTCCATCTTCCGCCCTGTGTTCTTGGTCCTAGTGTGAGCAGTCACACCTCATGAGAGAGCATGAAGATGTCCAGGAACGCACGACACTCCGCTATGAGGAGCGCATCACAGAACTCCACAGCATCATTGCAGAACTCAACAAGAAGATAGACCGCTTGCAAGGTACCACCATCAGGTATGGCTGCTTTGTCTAACCTTTGCTAATCCTTGGTTGTGCTGGAGTTGAAGCAGCCCCTGTGAGTAACTGTGTGAGTCACATGCCTTGATCTCTGTTACACCTTCTGATTCTGATCCTCACAACCATCCCAAAGGATAGACAGGCTGAGAGATGTAACCCTCAGCTCATTGCTAAGGGTATAGAAACAGCAATGGAGGAAAGTGCTTTATCAACAAGTTCTAGGCGAATGGCCCTCAGTCTTAGAGACAGACAACAGTCTGATGTCCTTTCTGCCTCCTTTGTTCACCCACTTCTTTCCAGACTTTATGCCTCCCTTAGAGGTTCTGAGCCTCATGAACGTGGCTTATTACTAAGCATTATATAGGATTCTAGATAATCTGTTAATATTTTGAGCTTATCCCAAGTAGTTTATCAATAAGTAGGAGACACTTATCCTCTTACTAGATTCTTAAGGCAAGGTTTGACCTATCAGATCACTGGTAGGAAAGACTTGACCCATCAGTTCACTGGTAGGAAAGCCAGGCTTAAAAGGAATGCTGTTGGAGAAGAGTTAGATCAGCAGAGAGAGAGGAGGTAGAGTTGGAAGACCCAACTCTACGCAGAGGCTCTAGTTTTACTTAGTTATCGTTTGAAGATGCCTGTCAGAGTTCATCTCCATGGGTTATCGGTCTGTTTGACTCCTGAACCTGCAGCACACAATGCTCAGTTCTCTGTCTGTGTCCTGTGGCTTAAGGAGACGTGCTGAGGAGCTCACTCTAGTGGACAGGGAGCATCCCAGTACAGAGAAGCAGTGCCTTCCTTCTTGGAAAAAGGGTGCTCTCTGTTCACAGAGCATTTGCATAAGCCATAATTAAAAGACTCTCAGAGGCAGCTGCTTTGAGTCCTCCCTGGAGAAGCTCTGGCTCGCAGGAGACTTTGGATGCATTTTGTTCCAACTCTGAGAGTCTCAATAATGATGGGGCTTCTTGGTGAGAATGCTGACGGGCATCTGTTTTCTGGGCAAAATCATGGAAAATTTTACACTGCCTTGGAGCCACGCAATAAATTTCATGTTCCAATTTAGAACTTTAAGGTTTTAAAATTGTATCCTGGTCTACAGAGTGATTGTGGGTTAGAAATACATGAGCAAAGACAAGATTTTAACCCAAAGAGATGATTATAGTAGATTTCAAAAAAATAAAAAAGCCTAACAGAATGTTTGACAAATTGATGATTTCCATTAAAAATGAGTTTCACATTTAAAAATTCGAGAAGGTGACAGCAGCGAATGGATGTGGTCAGTTGTGAAGTAAGTGCAGCACCTATCAAGGGGACAACTTAATCTCAAGATGTTTAAGTTGAACGTAATGGCCAGATTGCCTCACTTGGAAACTCTGAGAACTGCTTGGCCATAAAGACGTGTCAGTACCTCTGATTTAAAGGAAGTTCACATCTGGGCAGAAGTCAGGGTACATTATACCTGTTTCATTATGCAAATAAGCTAGTTTCTTCTCGAGGGGATTCCTTGCCTGGTTGTATTCCATGGACCAATGAGATTGGTTTCTTCCGGGCCTCTAAACTCCAGAGGCTAGAGCAGGGCCCTAGCCTCCAGCATGATGGCAAGTGGAGTGTGGGGGTGGGTTTTATTTGTCCTCTACTCCTGATGTGCTTGCTATGGCAACTGCAGGAACAACATATGGCGGATGGAATCTTAACTGCCTTGACATGTTCCAGGTGGAGAGGGCTGGTTATCACATTAGTCAGGTGCCTCTGAAGCTAATCCTACACTTTTCTTTCTTCTTTTTTTTAAGATTACTTTATTTTGTGTATATGTATGCTTTATCTGCATATATGTTTGCATGCCAGAAGAAGGGATAAGGCATTATAGATGGTTGTGAGCCACCATATAGTTTCTGGGAATCAAACTCAGGAACTTTGGAAGAGGTCAGTGATCTTAAGTGCTGTGCCATCATCTCTCCAGCCTTATCCTATACTTTTCAGTACTCTGAGATAAGGTATAAACCTTCACCTGTTTGAAGTATCCTTTGTGTGGTATCCAAGGATAAAGAGGAAAAGAAGTGATTTCCACTTCTTGGAAGGACTGTTTATGTCTTCATCCTCATACAACTTTGAATTCTCTTTTTAGTTATGCACCCAAAAATTTACACCAAAAATGTTTGCTTTTCATTCTTGCATCTCCTAGTTGACAAGTCTATAGGGACATACATCTATTGGAGAATATGATAACTGTTAACCATATGGCTCTTTCTGGTATCCTTGCTCTTAGAACCAAAGGATAATCTTGGTGTTGGTGTCTCACAAAGGAAAATGGGTACAAAGCAGAAGTATCTCAGTAAGGTACTTGTTTTTAAAAAGGTGTGTCAGGACCCAAACTCGATGGGCAAGCACATGGGGACACCAAGTGTACTTAATTCTGATTCCAAATCGGGTGGTGACTGTCTTTCCCCATTGTCTGAGATCTGATCTCATGCTCTTTCAATGTTGGTTAGTTTTACAAGATTCACGGCAAAGGAGATAAAGTAAGGGACAAAGCAGTAATTAAATAAAAGTTTTATTAGGTGGGAGGATTAAAGAATTCGTATAAAGGTCTATAAGGGAAGAGACAAGAAGGTTTGCATAAAAGTCTAAAGAAGGTGAGAGAAATAAAAAGAATTAAATTTCTTGTCCTAATTAGGCTCTATGACATTTGACAGAAAAGACTAGCATTTGATGTTTCTTAGCATGTCATTGAACTACAAAGAAAAAAAGTAGTTATTGTATTGGCTGGAGTGACAGGTAAGGAGACCTAGGGCTACTACTGTGCCCTAGGGTACTTAGGACTGCAATTGAAACCTGTAACTTGCTAGGCTACTGACTAGAAATTGTGAACAGTTCAAGTTAATAAATTAGAGCAAGCCAATACAGGGTCAGGACTTTTAAGAATGATTTTGAAATACTGTACTAGAGAAAACACTAATTCTGGGCTTGAGAGATGGCTTGGTGGTTAAGAAAACCTGTTGCTCTTGCAGAGCACATGAATTTAATTCTTAGAACCTATTTAGTGGCTCATAGCACCTTTAGTTCCAGGTTAGAGATCTGATACCTTCTTATGACCTCCATGGGCACCAGGCACACACCATATGGTGTGTATACATACAGGAAAGGGAAATACTCATATACATAAGATAAATAAATCTTGAAAAAAAGCAAGAATAAATGGACTAATTATAACTAAAGTGAGGTACTGGCCAAACCAAAAGAAACAGATATCCTAGTAGGAAAAAAAAAAAGAGAGAAAGTTTCAACAATGACAGCTCCAGCCTCATGTCCAGTTGTAGAAACCTTGGCTAAAGTATACATAGTTTTCTGGTTTTGTATATATGCATTTTGTGCCTCCTCTTGATTTTCTGCTACTCCTATGTAGTGAAATTTGTCACCTGGTGGCTAGGTTTCACAATGTCTAGTCAGGTTTGCCATTGGCTGGAGGAAGTCCCCTGACAGTAGATACGGTAGCTGATACGAAGTGGGTCTCCATTTTGAGGAGCAGCTGAACTCATTCCATCGACCAGAGAGACAATTACAGAAGGCTGATGCTATTGCTGTTGTGGTTGAGAAATTTAACTAATCCAGAGGGCTTATTTGATGGTAACTGAGCAGTCATCAATTGTAGACTATAACGGCTGTCTTCTGTCCCAAATTCCCTGTTCTTTCAAAGGGGTTCAGGGCCCTGGGGCTACTTCCCAGACCCCTTTCCCAGGTGTGTCCTGGATTTTTTTCAGTCTGGTGATGAAGTATGCCCACGTGGATCTGGGAGGAAGTGGAGACATTAACCATTGCCGCTAGGCCGTGATAAGTGGCAGCAGATATGAAGATGCAAGAGTCTGCCTTGATTGTCCAGATGCAAAGTTCTGGACAGATATATAGCAGAAGCAACAGGGAGACCAGAGCCATTGTGACAAGGCTGAGAGCTCCTGGTGGCCTCCACTCACCCTCCTCCGTCTTCCCTCCATTCTTCCACCAGCATTGCAAGCACAGACCTGCCTGGATGCAATGCTGTCTGCTTGAATCTTCTAGTACAGTTTGTTTTTCTAACTGATCCCTGCTGACTGCTTCCTAAATCCCATCTCCTAGAGGCAAACACAGAACATTTTGTATATATGTCCTTCTGAAATTTTTTTCTGTTGACTCTTTTAAACATAGTGGGTCACGCAGCACCCCGCACACATGGTTTTGGACTTCTCTGTGTATTGTGCCTGCCTTTTAAAAGATGTTTAGTTTGATGTGGGGAGATTATATAATGGGATAGAAAATATGAGAAGAATATGACCATAGAGCACTTTGGATCCCAGAAGAAAAAAAGAATGATGTCTAAGCAAATTGAACATGAGATCATTTCTTTCCCATAAGCAACTCTTGTAACACCAGCCTTTCCTTGCTAACCCCCTCGACTCAGCTCTGTTCTCTCCTTTCTTGGAAAGCCCAGAACTCATTGCTGTCTGGCTTCTTGCCCCAGCAGTTTTTCCCCAACCCCCTTTCCTATGGCCTGAAAGTTGCCTTCCCTCATCTGCTCCACAAGGGTATGGTGTGCGTAGATGGGCTTTGTGGAGGTGATTTGGGTCAGACGAAGTCACAAAGGTAGGGTTGTCATGGCGGGATCCTGTCTTCATAAGAAAAGACACCAGAGAGCTGGCCTCTTCCCAGCCATGTGATGACAGAATAAGAAGGCGGGCCATCTGCAAGCCAGACAGAGGACCCCTCCAGAAAATGACCATGCTGCCAATGCTTTGGGGCTTTCCAGCGTTCAGAAACATGAGAAGCCACATTTCTGTTGTTTAAGCCACCCAGTCTGCAGTGTTCTGTTTTGGCAGCTTGAGCAGCATAAGATGCTAATGATTTCTCTTGTCTTTCTCCCTAAGTTCCTCCCCTCCCCTTTCTTCTCCTACTCCCTTTCCTCCCTCTCTTTTCCAGTGCTGGAGATAGAACCCAGAACCCCACACATGCTATACACATGGCCTCCCAGGCCAGCCTACTCATTTTTATTTTTATGTTTTTGAGATAGCATCTAACATATAGCCGTATATGTATATGTGTATGTATATGCATATGTATATGATGTATATGTATATGTGTAGCCATATATGTAGATGTGTATATATCAAGCCATATATGTATATGCATATGCATATGCATATGCATATACATATGCATATACATATATATATATTTCTCCTTGTTTGCTTTTTGTTGCACCAAAAACAGCTGGGGGAGAAATGGGTTTTTCATCTTACAATTCTTCTGTCAAGGGAAGCCCAGAAAGGAACTCAAGGCAGGAGCTTGAAGCAGACACCAGGGAGGAATGCTACTTAAAAGTTTGTTCATCTAGTCTAGGCCCACCAACACTGACTATAATAGCTGGCCTACAACTTGCGATTCTCTTGTCTTGGCCTCTTCTATGCAGGTACTACAGGTGTGTCTAACCATGCTCTGCCACCAATGACTTTTTAACTGAAAAATCAAAATGTCCTTTCTTGTTTTTCGGGTCCCTTTCTGTAGCATTGGGCCTAATCTCTCTCACTGTTTCTACTGGAGGCCTCTTTGACCATTGAGATCACATCCTGGAGCTTACCCTCCCCTGCTGAGCTCCCTCCTCAGTCTTGGGTCACATGATGGGTCTTTCCAGCACCTTCCATCTGGGATAGCACCCCCACACACACACACAACTAACTCTCCATTTCTATGATCTTCACATCTGCACTGAACCTCTCTGCAGGGCCTCCCTCCCAGGGCAGCAAGGCAGTCTCTGATATATCAGTCTCCTGTCATGTCATCTACCTGCTCGGCTTTCAGGGCTTTTCAGGACCCTGACTATTCTTCCTGATTTTTCAAGGAGCACAGCAACCATGTGCTATGTCTCAAGCAGTGACCAAGATCTCCTTATCTCCCTAACAAAATGAAGTGTTCTGTTTAATTGGGGGCCTAAAAGTGAACTAAAATCCAGAAGGATCTTATTTCTGTGTGTACAGGAGGAGCCCTGCTGAGTACAGTAAGTCCTTGTCTGTGGCTCCTATATCAGATCTTAGGATTCGAATGGACCGTTACTCTATGGAAACACATTTTTTGTGTTTAGTTGCTCACCTGAAGGCTCATAGATGAGCTCTGTCTTCCTCTCTGCTGTATGGGAAACAGGAGGGAGAAGTTCAGAAAGCCATACTGTACTCCAATTTACCACCTATATCCTGCAATGGAATCTTTAAGAGAATTGAAAGGAATATATTTCTTTCCTATATCAGCCATTTCAGGGAAGGCCTGCATTTCATAGTAAGAAAGATAGAATATGGATCAATTTAAAAAAAAAAAAACCCTGAAAAACCAATTGGCTCAGGTGGGATGGGTTTGCTAATTGTAACTGACTGACAGCCGTGAAAACCAATGAGCAACCATCCAGGCTACCTTCTGATTTATGTCAGGTTCATGGCAAAAATGTTTGTGCATGAAGTTAGCTTATTTCTTGGCACTCTCAGCTGCACAGAAACATCAGCTCCAAGTCTAGAGCACATGAGAACTACATTTTTGTCAATTTTTCCCGTTTATGACTAAATAATTTAACTGGGAATCTAGTCCATAGGCCACAATGTAAGATTATTATTTCATTGGTTCTAAACTAAGGAATTAGGTTGCACTGCAAAAATAGTTGCATAATGTATCAGTCACAGCACGTAGCCATGTTTTAGATGTCCTGTTTTTAAAATATGAATCCTGGCTCTCCTGGCTTTTAGAAGTCTTCCATGTAACTCTTCTGCCACTGGTGATCATCATGTGGGTGTGTGGGTGTGCATGCTCTAGAACCTACCATCCTAGGATACTTTGTTATATTTCCAGATACAACTAGAAGCAAGTGTTAATGATTGCAAGTCTAAACAAAACCCCTTGAAGTATTTCTCAGCTGTTTCTTAGTGCATTGGATTCACTGAATTAACAATGGATTTGTGTGAAGGGGACAGCCCTACCTCAAAGGAATAATCTGGTACAAGACTAAGGGTTACTGTATAGGGAACAGGAAGGTAGCTTGGTAAAATCACATGCTACCATGGTTGGGGGGGGGCATTGTTTGGTTTTGGTTTGTTTTGCTTCCTCCAATATAATAAATTCTCATTTTGATTCACACTGCCAAGTCAAGCTCCTTGCCTCACTTTGGTATTAGCTCTACTAAACACCTTGCTCAACACCTCAAAGCTCTGAGCTTGTGCGCATGCTCACTCTGTCTCCCAACCTGGAGTGATGCTCCCTCTGTGTCCCCTCCTAGCATATCTCAAGTTAGAAAGGGCTGTGGATATGTCTGTCTCCTGGAAGATGGCATCCACCCAGACTTAGCTTTCCTGTGTTCATCCTGGTGCTCTGATACCTTGAATAGAATCCTCAGTTTGCTTTCATGACATGAAAAGTGTCCAGCCCCAGGTGTCATTATGAGTATGATGTCATTCCCCTTCCCACTCACCCCAGAAGGGATATCTCCCTCATTAGGTTTTCTTCTCACACCCTCTCCCTAGTTACTCCTTTATAAAGTTATTCCTACTAATTCCTGGAAGTAATTCGATATAAAGCTGATTTGGCAGGAGCCATGTGTTCAGAATCTGCCAAGCCAATTTTAAATGCTGACTAAAGGAAGAGCTGATGTATCAGTTCACAAACAATTACCCTCTAGATCAAAAGGTGACTAATAAGACGACTACTCTTTAATTGTTTTCTCACCTAAACCTAATTATTGTTGACTCATGTAAGTGTCTAAATAATTAGCATTCATAGCTTATTAACCTGTTTTTATTTTTACCTCCACTCCTATTCTAATCCATATTTTGTATAGCCAGAGGCTTTGTTACTAACTGATGAAAATCTTCCTAGTTTTCTAAGTGGCTTTCTACGATGTCTCTTATTCAGCACGGGCCATTTTTGAAGCAGGTAAATCCCTTCAGAGAAGATTGCTTTGTTGAGAGAACCAAGAACTTTCGAGAGATATTAACATTTATCTGATTTATTCCTCTTCCCCAAGCCACTCACCATCTTGGTCTACCCAAAACCCAGACTTGGCCCCCTCTATTCTCTTCCTGATTCCTGACAGCTTAAAATGAGGTTTAGGCTGGTGAGCATATTTTCTTCTTAGCTTTTTTTCATTGATACTCTCTCCCTCAGACTAAGTAGACAGTAGTGAGCTTTCTATGCCCACAATTAAATCCTCTGATGATGTAGTCTTCAGATTCACTTGCAAAATAAATGCTTCCAAGAGAATTATGGTCTCCTCTTCATGTCTGTGTGTGGCTCATACGGTGCTGGAATGTAGAGGAGCCGAGGCAGGCACTTCGAGATGGACATTCCAGTTAGAAGTTTGCTGATAGCATAGCTCAGCAGTTGAATAACCATGAAGGGCTGAGACAAGATGAGTGAACTCGTGGGAATACAACAGCTGTGCATCATGGCTGCCTTCCATCTATAAACACAAAGAGAAAATCAGGGACACAGAGAGCTGGGTGGAGTCTCTCCAACAAGGCCACCCGTCTCTCCCTTCTTTTTTGAGGAACCTAAATATGGTATTTCTTAGTGTCCTAATTAAGGTGTCTATTGCTGTGAAGAGACACCATGACCATGGCAACGTTTATAAAGGAAAACATGTAGTTGGGGCTAACTTGCAGTTCAGAGTTTAGAGCGATATCATCATAGCAGGAAGCATGGTGGCATGCAAGCAGACATGGTGCTGGAGAGGTAGATGAGAGTTCTACATCTGAATTGGCAGACAGCAGAAAGAGAGACACTGAGCATCTAAAACCTCAAAGCCCATCTTCAGTGACACACTCACTCTGAAAGGCCACACCCACTCCAGCAAGGCCATACCCACTCCAGCAAGGCCACAGCCACTCCAACAAGGCCACATCATCAATAGTGTCACTCCCTATGAGTCTATGGGGACCATTTTCATTCAAACCACCACACTTACATATGCCAATTTGTCCACCTAGAGTCCAGTTAAGCTGCACACATGAGATTTCTCAGTAGCTTCAAGTCATCTCCTCTCTGTGTCAAGTTACAGGAAGGAAGGTTCCAGTGGGACTTTTCCAGCTGAGGGTGTGTAATTTGTAGCTTATCATATTCTTCACTGTTTTGTTCACTGTAACCTCAATGTTAACATACTGTGCTCTTTATTACCTCTTAATTTGAGGTGGGATAAAGAGCTCTAATCTTTCCAGGACATCTTTGAAGAGAAACATTTCTCATAGGCTACTGCAGAAGTTTTGTACAGTACAGAACTGTGTGGATGCACAAGAAACACTGTTTTGTACACTACATCATCTTACATATAACCATCTGTGTAGCCTGAAAGGGATCCTAGTGCCTTCAGCCTGGAATAGAAAACTGTTTTCTTTCAAACATCTTTGCTTGTTCCTTACAAAATATATTTTCCAAGGACTCTGTACATCCTCCATCAATGGTGGCTGGACTATAGTTTCACTCAATGGTAGATGACTCTCTTTTTTTGCAGGGAGGAAGATGAATACTCAGAACTTCGGTCAGAACTCAGTCAGAGTCAACAAGAGGTCAACGAAGACTCCAGAAGTGTGGACCAAGACCAGACCTCTGTGTCCATCCCTGAGAACCAGTCTACTATGGTCACTGCTGACATGGGTGAGTCTTTCCAGGCTTCCTGCTAAGCAGGAGTTTTAGTTTCTCAGTTGTAAGAGAAGCCTCAGAAATGCAAGTCAGCCCAAATTAAGATTTAAGTATTCAAGAAGTTTGATGAGTGGATGAATATTCTAGATTCCCTACCTTATTGGGCATAGTGAACCAGAGAGCTGAGTTAGTGTTCTTGCTTTGTAGGAAAATGATTCAAACATGGATCACCTATGCTTGAACGTTCTAGAAGCAGGGAGATGTGTTGAAGACTATTGCAGTGTTTCTAGTTATAGTTCTTCAAGAGCTGCCGTGAGAGGAGTGGAAGGGATGGAATGGACAGAAGAGGCTTTGCAGTAGAAGAAGCCAAGAGGGTTTTAGCTAAGAAGGAGGGATCCAAACTGTCTACAACATGCTGATCCAAGTGATGATTGTATTCCTTGGTAAGAAGTTTGTTTGAGAAACAAATTGAGAAATTGTTTACTATTATGGTTGAACTTGTAGCAAAATAGCCAAGTGGAGATACTGATGCAGTGTTTTCAGCTGCAGGCCATGGCCTATCATTGGATTTTGGAATTAACATATAAAGTTTTTTAGAAAGAAAAACAAGTAGGAAAGCAGTAGAGCGACAGAGTTGCCTTATAAAATTTGTTTTTTGCCAAATAGCTTGAGAGTCAGAGTTGAAGTGTGATAAGCCAGTGGTCTGCCTGGGAAGGCCTGTTGGAGTCTTTAGACAGACTGTGGTTAAGTGTTTGAAATGGTCTGAGCCTAAGTGATCTCTGTGATTGAACAGGAGTGAAGTCAGAAGAGTGAAACTTCCCATGTCTTTGGAGATAGCTGTTCACAGGTAGTGAAGAGGTGGCAGAAGAGCAAGGAGAAGGATGAGATGTATATTGAGTTTTCATGAAACTGAAAATTGAGATGGAAAGCAGTATTTTAATCAGCTATTACACATATGTCTAATTGTATAGCCATATAAGTGCTGTAACATCATAAATCATGGTACTGTGAAAATATCAAATGAATCCAATCAGTCAAAGGTCTTAGGAAGTCTTGATCTAGGAAGTAGTATGTAAAGGAAGACTTGGAGAATCTGTAGCAGTTAAGCAGGTAAAGGAGGAGCTGAGGGCGTGTAGTGAGGATGGGGAAGAACCGTTGTTATGTGAAGATGAAGGCTGCAGAGATAGGTAGGAGCCAGCTCACTCTGAGTCCTGTAGAACGTGTTGGAATCTTTACCCAAAAGGCTTATCAGAAGTTGCTAAAGGATTTACCAGTGGAGGGAGGCACGAGATGATCAGCTGCATTGTGAATCACTCCACAGAGTGGAAAGCAAATCTAGAGATCAAGAGTGTATTGGGGAAATATGTCAAGAAATCATTTAAAAGGTCTAGGTAGGCCAGTTGTTACAAGGAATAGTATAGTGACACTTAAAATGTAGAGGAAAAAAAAGATGGGAATAGAAAACTTATGAACTGGGCAACATTTGCCTAAGAACTGGAAGAAGTATAAAAGCAGAGGTATGAGTGTGGCTGTCTTATAAGATTCATGTACACAGTGCAGGAGTGGTGAGGCTGCTCATCAGTGTGGGAACATGGTGGGAAGGAGCCAATGATTTACTCTCAGTTTCACTCTGTTTTGCATAGGGGAGAGAGAGAGACAGGTAGAGATCAGCTGTCTTTTGGAGGTCATGACTTCGAGGTGTCTTGTCTTGAGATATCTGGGCGAGAGATGCTTAAGAGCACAGTAGATACTGAGATTAAAAGGTCAAGCTGAGTGGCTGGGATACAAAAGCTTGTTGGGAGACATCCAGTTGTGGCTGAAGCAGCAGCCCATGGGGAGACAAGTGAATCAGCTGGAGACTGAACCTTTGGGGACACAGCGAGTAGCTGTACTCAGCAGGAGCCCAAGGATCCTCTTCTCAATTCAGTTCTAGGGTGAATGAACATTCTTAGCAAACCTCACAGTGTATGGGTGCCCGTGCTGACTGTGTTGATGCTGTATTTTTTTCTTCTTATAGTATATTGAAATTCTAGATCCTGTCTTTATTCTCATGGCTGACTATCCCACTAAACTTCACTAGGCAGTTGTATGATGTTCGTTTCATCTCCTAGGGCCTGACTTGTGGTATGTGTTAAAAGATCCTGTTTGAATGAATGAATGAATGAATGAATGAATGAATGAATGAATGAATGAGGCTATTGGTCTGTCTGTGAGGAGTATCTTGGTGTTAAGATGTGATGGGACAATAAGTACTCAGCAGTCTCAAATGCTGAGGAGGCAAATAAGATGGATTTAGCCACATGAGTCATTGAGAGGTGAATTCTGAGACCAGCCTAAGCCACACACACAACAGGGTTCACAAAAGTGAAAATACTGCTCCAGGCTTAGTAGCTGGAAGATAGTGTCAGGTGTAGGTTCAGGTCGTTTTGCTTTATGCCCAGGCTGTCTCCCTCAAATACTTCTGAACCCAGGGTCGAGACTTAATGTTCTAACACACACTGCCATCTGCCTGCCACCAGCCAACCCTCAGGCAAAAGTCTCAGACACTAAGTTCATATCAGCATCATAACTGTCTAGACTCAACTGCCTCTTATTCCAGACTCCAACCTCCAGCCATGGGCAGCCAAACAAGTTCAAAGAGCTAACAGTGACAATGTCCCTGTCACTGCAGAGGACCAGGCCTACACTGACCCCTACACTTGCTTCTCTCAAATTGTACTTTATGAAATTAATACGTGACCCACAGTCCGACAAAGTCACATAATTAAGTTTGGGAAATGCAGGCACAAACCCACTTCAATAGGCTTCTCTCCTGGGAGACGTCTCAGAGCTCCTGACATGACAGAGCATCTGTCGCACCGATTCCCCAAGGCAGGGGCTCACAGCTGTCTGTCTGCAGGGTGAGGCTTCTCCACTGTCCCTCGTTATTCATCTCAGATGCTTTCTTCCACTCTGTACCTCACTTGGAAATGTATGTTAATTGTACTGGTAGCATCTTTCCTGGCAGTACGGAGCTCTGTAGGGGCATGGCCTCTGCCCAGTGTCAGCAGACATTCCCTATTTTCTCAGGGGGACCTTTAGTCATCTGTCTTCCAAAGTCATGAGATGCTGCATTAGGTACTAGGCTGCAAACTCACTGTGTGCTACATTAGGTAATGGGGCTGCAAACTCACTGTGTGCTACATTAGGTACCAGAGCTGAAAGGCAGTTTGCCATCAGATGGCTGCAGTCCTTCATTCAAACCTCTTAAACCTGGGCTGACATCCAGACTCCTCATTTGATGTCCCATGAAGCCTGTAGCCCTTGATACCCCACGCCTCCATCCCTCCTCTCTGTCCTCCAGCTCTGATCACACACCCCCCTCTTACTGTCTCTCCAACCTGACCAGATTCTGCCCTCCAGGGTATGTGTGAGCTATCTATCTCTTCTGTCAGGAGTACCTCTTGCTACAAGACACATGTAGCTTTCTCCTTCATTCTGGTTTTCTTCTCAAGTCTGCAGCATCCCTCTCATGCCCCGTCCTCGAACCTGGCATCTGTGGAAAGGCTGCATTTGCTTTTATTTCCTTGCATATTGCCAGTCAATGTCTCACACTAGAATTCAGCCTGCATAGGGCAGGGATTTTGGATGACTTTGTATGCCGATCTAATGGACCTCAAGGACACATCAATGGATGCTATCCTGTCCTTGTCACAGTCTTTAGGGGATGTGGATAGTTCCATAGAAAAGACCCACAGTGGGGTAAGGACCTACAAGGAGGAAACTTCCCTGAAGGCATGGCTGAGGGGATACTTGAGGATTAAATGGGAAGTGGTGAGGTTAAGGATTCAGGTATGAGAGGGCTCTCTGTTGACTCCTCCAAGAAGACAGCCACTTACAGGATCACTTGGCAGAGCTCATTAACTGCAGCACAGAGGATAGTCAGCGTGTTTGTTGATTGGAACTGGCTGCCTGCCTCTTCTTCCTTTGCCATTTTCCAATTAAATTGCTTCAATAGGGTAAAAAGCTTCCATATATAAACACCATTATAGGAAATCATTAAAAAGCTTCCATTTCATTACGGTTGCTGTATTTGCGAACCTGCATTAGGAACCCAGGGTCTCCTCAAGCTGGATTTTAGATGCACTTTGCCGCAGTGTTTTTGCTGGTTTACCAAAACAATAGCAGCCAGTCATCTGTTCACTTCCTCCAAACCCTCTTCTCTTTTCTCTGCAATCACCACCTGCCAGATCCTTGCTGCCCCTTCTGGACAGTCACTCCTGAGCACTGTCCTAGGGTCAGAGAACTGAACAAGCAACTTAAGACTTTCGGTAACCCCAGCCATGGAATAAAGGAGAAAGTTCCCCCAGCACAGCACATTTGAAAGTGAATTCTATTACTTCTTATCAAACCTTGTCACAGTCGTTTTGGAAGTAAAGGTGACTAAATAGAAGAGGAAGGAGTCATCATTTAGATTTTTTTTTAATATTTAGTAATACATAAGAATTTTCAAGTGAATGCAGCAGCCTGTGGGCTCCGATAATAGCCTCATATTAGGTAGTTCATCCATTCCTTGTGATTGGCACTCAGCTCTGAAGGCTCTGGAATGAAAGCTCTGGAATCTTAGCAGGATAGAAGCACTTAAGGAAGGCAAACCACTTGTCCAAGCTAAGAGGAGGTGGCTTCATTGTTGCCATGTGTAGATGGCTTTGCTCCTGGATGCCTCTTTGAACAGTACAGCATGCCTGCAGTTGTTGTTGCAGCTTCCCAACATCCTTTGAGGTCTCAGTGCTGATGGGGGAGTTATGGGAGCAGCTGTGTGATTACCAGCACCTGGCCTAACTGTGGCACATTTTGTAATTGAATGAAATTTTGTTCATCTCAGGATGGAAAGCAACACACACCAGCCAAGTCATGCCAGCATGGCAACAGGAAAGAACACACGAGTGTGTGTATGTGTGTGTGTGTGTGTGGTGTTTGCGCACACGCACGTGCACTCGCATGCATGCATGCTTGCTCACGCTCGTACACATGAG